CAGTCTGGTAGTGGATTTGGGTCCCACAACCTTCAGTTACCCATTCATGAAGACAACCCTCTCTCCCCAGGATACACCGAACCCCTCTGTGTAAGTCAGCTGTAATTCAAGTATCCTTTAACTAATAACCTAAGCAAACACACCAATATTGGATATAAATGTGGTAGGAGTTAGTTGTTCATTGCTAAAAAAAAACGTTGTGTTTGTTTTGGTGGAGCTGAGCAGCAACTGTTTTCTTTCACAAAGTTAATTATTAAGCCAGGTCTGGAGACCAAACTGCTCACGTTTCAAATGCTTAGGAGATGATCCTCCGGCCGTCCAGTAAAAACATTCAAAACAAAGTCAGATTTGTTTTACTAAAACAACATAAAAAAGTTTTCTTGCAAACTTCAGTCTCTTCAGTACTGAAGCACTGTGCATTATCAGGACTTATCACCAACTCCCCCGGGACAGGGGCTATGCAGGCTGACTCCAAATCCAATTAGTATTAAGTGTAGAGGGCTCAGTGCCCAGAAGACATGTTTTTTACAGCTCCTGACCTGAACTACCGACCTCCCAAATTAATTTAATGGAGACCTGTTAACAAAGAAACAAAACATAATGAAAATATCTATTGGTGAAGACAGAATAAATAGTTCAAAAGCTAAAAGAGAAAACTTTGGTCTGACATTTGCCTTGGGTGTTTTTGTCTGTCCTTACAGTACAGCTCAAGTCGTCCCTCCTCAACTGAGACTGCCCGTCTAGGCAGCAGGAACAACAGCGTGTCTTCCCACACCAGGCTTGAGCGCGACCTACGACCTTCGTCACTGCGCTACTCCTCCCCGCAGCGCAGCTCCCACCTCCAGCCTGCGGAGAGCGCAGTGCGATCTCAGGTCTACAGCACACCCTACTCTGCTCTGCATCGTGCCAGCCCTCAGCGGCTGGAGAAAGCTCCACTTGTAAAGGTAATTCAGTCTGGCGTCTAACTTGCTAATATTCCCATTGAGAGTGCTGACTTATTTTACATGTCATGTGAACAGTAACTAAAATAGGCACAACCAGTAGGCTTAGAAAGGTCATGTAAATGGTGTTAACAAACAGGGTAATGGAAGCATTTCAGCAGATTGAGGTTGACAGATAAATCTTCTTCATGGTACCAGTGATAAAAGGTCTATGAAAAACTTAAGCCACCAATCAGAGGAAAATTGTATCCACATATTCTTATGGCAGTTGGGAGTTCAGTTTTTATACACAGCCGTGACAGCTGAATTTGATTTGTGAGACAACAGATTGCTGTCACACCAGCACTGCTGCAGATCATGACATGGGATGGGTCCAAAACCTGTATTTGGTAATATGATCATACACTGTGGCTTATGTGATGGCCTTCTTTGAACTACGTGAGAGAGAGAGACAGATAGAGACAGAGGGAACATTTATTTTCATCTTATCGCTTGGTGTTTAAAACGTTGAATCTTTTGTGATCAGTCCAACAGCTGGAGCACCCCTCAGACATCCTTGAACATCTCACTGAACACCCCCCAGCGCCACTCGGACATGTGCGCCCCCCGACAGCCCTTGTCACCCCTGTACGATGAGCCCTGCAGCCCCGAAATCTACTCCCTGGATAAGGCCAGACCAGTGGTAAGTGGGTCAATGATACTGGATCCATAGACTCCATTTACACCTGCACAGCCTGTACAAGATAAAGCAGTGTACAACCTCAAACGCACACTTTCAGTTAACAACATTGCTGTTGATGCAGAAAAGTGGTAAAGAAAAGATCTGAAAAATGTGGGAGGGCTCATACACTACTAAATGTAATTCCAATTAGTTAAATAAATAAGAAATATGTTGACCAAAATTTATCATAGCAGCTTTACCCTTTTCCAAGATCCATTTTACTACATGGAGAAATTATCGTGATTGTTCATCATCATATTATCGTTGGTCATTATTATCATTATAAGGTCATCTCAATTTGGATTGGTTGAAAAAGCAATTTTTTGCATGACAAATTACCTCAACTAATCAAATTATACTTGCAGCTCTACTTATAGCTTCATACTCTGACACATCTTATTCTGTTCTTCAGCAGAAGAGCTGGCAAGAGCCAATTCAGCACCACCAACATCAGCAGGGCCCCCAGCTGCTACCCTCCTCCTTCCAGCTCCACACCCCTCCCATGGGCAGGCGCTGCAGGAGAAGCCTGATCCTGACCAATTCCCAGGGACAGGCTCTGGGCCTGGAGATGGAGACTCCTCAAAGCCAAGCCGAGCAGAGAGCAGAGGCCGTGTCAAGGCTAAAGCTGCTGCCTGTGCCCAGCCAAGTTCAAGAAGAGCAGGTGAGAAACACATAGAAACTCCCAGAACACTCTGGTTTCTGGAATGCTTTGGCACATAGTGCAACAGCAATGCACTGTATGGTAGCAGCGTGTGTATATATACTTGATCTGCAGATAATATTTGAACAGGTGCCACAGATGAAACAGATATTTTTGGGAATGTGAGAATGTTTGTTATACATGATCACAGGAAGTAACTTTCTATTGCTTTCACATCTTTTCATAGATTCACTTCCCGTCAAGCTCTGCAAGAAACACCTCCCAGATGCCTTGTGGTTACTCACCAGGTAAGAACTGAAGGCATGCAATCATAAAACTGACAATAATTCCTCTGTTTATTATTAGTGTGCAGAGTTCAAGTATGATTATAAGTTATGACAGAAAAATCATCCATCTTGTCAGAAGAAAAAAAAAGGCAGTGCTTTCTTTTCTTGACACATCTAAACTACATTTTGATTTCTATTGAAAAACAATGGGCAGCTATAAGACTGCATCCATATTTCTTCACAACTCTGCATTATGAATACCATCACTAGCAGCCACCTTTCAAAATAGCAACAAGGACACAGGGCATAGCTCACACTCCTTTACACCTTAAATCAAACACTGTATGTATGCACTTCGGACTGATTGAACTCTTGGGGCTGTCAGCAGGTAGACAGAAGGCCAAAGGCTGCTAAATTGGAAACGCAGGAAATGTGCCAATGAAACGGTGCTTAGAGCAGCTTCAAATGCCATTGTGCAGATGTCCCATGTGGGGGAAAGCCAAGTATAAGAGAGCACTGTTTGACAGACAGGGTTTGCTCCTGCACTGTTATGCACGGCACACAACTGTGTAGGGTTACGAGCGTATCTAAAGACTCATATAAAATAGAACAAACTACTAAAACTTACCTGGCTATTGAAGGTGACTTTGATTTATTCTAACATGTGCAAGGACCCAATTAAATCTTATAGTTGCATGTTTCTGCGCCATTAGAAAGAGAACATTCATAACAAATTAAGGTAGTGACATGTGTGGCATGTTACACTACTAGTTTTACAGTGAGATTATATTTTTTATGCCAATCACGCCATACATATGTTGGGAATGTATCCATGTTTATTTCATTGGGGCGAGGTTTGTCTTGCATTGTTTGAAACTAAAAGTCTGTGAATCTTCTCTCGCTCTTATAGATCATCACTCGTACCTTGAACCCACAGAACCAGATGACCAGGAAATGGACTATGACAACATTTGGGAGTACGACTGTAATACTGGTATGATTCAGCCAGCGTCTGGAATTTCGACAGACTGGGCAGGATTAGACTTTGGGGCCGGAGGTATTGGTGCCATGGCAACCCAGCAGAGATGGTCATAAAACAAAACAATAGCCCGGCACTCGTCTGGACGTGTGCAAACAACAGATCTCTATCAGAGGGATAATAAAAAGCCAACTAACACAGCCAGTGTTGCTCCTGCTGCATACAGTATGAACCAACAAATCCCATGAACTGCATTATTAGAGGCTGAGTAGTCAGGCGGAGTAACAAAAGTGCAGGAATGAAGAGGAACAAGCTTAACACAAAACATTATGAAAGTGATAGACAGACTTCAACTGTATGTTTGATATATAGCATCCAAGAAAAAGGACACAAGTGTAAAAACGGTTTATGTTAATTTTGTATATCTTGCATAACTGCACAAAATGTTTCAACTTTATGCAGTCCTTTTTTTATATTTAAAGTATTTTCTAACGTGTACAGTTTACTTATTGTACTTTTATTTAGTTTGTATTTAAATCTTTTTTAGTAAACGATGTACATTTTTGTAAATGTTGTATATTTATTATTTTATTATGCTACATTATCAAGGAAAACATGTGTGGCTTAAAGGAGTGCCTTATTATGTGCTGATATTACCACCACTACTACTGTACTGTGTTGATACCTGTGTGGCTTCCTTGTTTTATTTTTGTGTGAGGTGTTTATTTATATTTGAAAATAAAACTGGAAAAAAATTCTGTTTTTTCTTATTCTAATGAAACTCCTAAACGTGCTACAACAATGCATATTTTTATACTGTCAGGTATCAAATGACATGATATTAATATGTATCATTCACAACATACAGGTGATGATATGTTAATGCACAAATGTGTTCACAACTCGTTTTCCAATACTTCCAAAAATACATTATCTAACGTTTAAATTGTAGTATATAAATAGAGGAGGTGCATCAAATAATTGTCAAGAATTTAAGTTGGACATAAAATAAACACTGTAGATCCCGCATGGTAATGACATTAACTATTTTCAAGATTGCATCAAAAATCTAATCAATTTGGTGTTTTTTTCTGTCAGAATACAGCTCCATAGGTTGTGCTCTGCTGCATTTTCTAATTATATTTTATTGCTCAACTTTGCCATCTGCTGGAGAAAGATATTTATGAATCCTGGAGAGGACAGTATCTCAAGTGAAAACTGAGCAAAAACGTTAAATAAAGACATTATTAACACACATTATGATAATTAATATCTTGTTCTAATATTTGTGGGATCAAATGAATTTATAGAATGGCAACTAGCTTTTCAGCTGTATTAGTTCAAGTTCGTACTTGAGCTTACGTTGCCCTCTAGTGTTTCAAAGTCTCAACTTCAGGTCTGAGTATTATTGTAAAAAATAAGAGATTGCACGCTACGACAATAGTATTTACTATAGTAAACTCACATTCATCAACATCTTGCAGAACAGTCTTTATCAGAAAATGTTGTACAGCCATCCAAAAAAATACAATCAACATGAACACAAAATGTCCTTCATGAATTACATAACGGAATATGTTACGTTTATTAGTATGTTTTGATTAATTCCCATTTTGGAAATCATTCTGATAGATAGTCACCATTTTAATTTGTTAAAGAAATGTTTATTTCGTTTATGTAATATTTTACACAGTAGTTTTGGAAAAAATTCACCAGCTAAAATAATGGAACGGGATATAAACAAACCATCCTAAATGCTTCAAATGCCTTAAATTAATCATTTTATCACATGTCCATCTAACATCCTAACTCTGCGCAGTGAATTTACCTTTAATCTCTCTTCAGTACGCACATACTGAAACCTTATTTACACATATCTAGAGCTTTCTTTCTGATAAATACACATCTGGTCTTGCCTTTGGTCTTTTCATATTTACTATGAATGCTTTCAGACGTTAAAGGTCAAAATAACAGACATATTATTTAAATGAAACCCTTTCCCATATCCATTCAATGGTAGGGTCAACTTAACAAGAACCAATTATAGTGCAAATATGTAATGCAAACATTTAACAACACAACCACATCAAGAATCAGACGGGGCTGTGTACTTCAATTTCTTCTCACTTGTTGCAGCCTCCATCTTGACGTATTTACGCAGGTATCTGATGGCTGTCAGAGCACTTACATTTGCCAGCAGAACTGTGTGAGATTACATATTAAAAGTGAGAAATCAGCTTAATCATGAGACTTTGAGTCCAAAGGAAAAAAAATGTATGTAATGCTATATATAATCAGACATACCAGCCTTCCATGTGTCTCCAACTTGTGGGTTTGCCGTCTTTAGCACCCACGAAGCAAATGCAATACAAACCAGACACATGTCGGACTGTCTTAGAGGCAGGAGGGAGGCATCCAACCCTAAGAAGAAAGTGAAAGTAGCCTATCATGGAAAACATTTAAAAATATTAATTGTGTCACATACATTTAAAATAACCAGTCACAGAGCAGTCCAGTAAAAAGGTCAAGGGTATTATACTTGTCACTGACACTGCAACAGCTGAGCACCAGCCCTCGATAATAGGAAGGGATTTCCTGTTCTGTCACACTGTGACTCAGTCAAATCCTAGCCCCTGCACAGATTACTTTAATGCAAACATACAACGCTAATTATTGTTACTGATATTTTATAATATGATTCTAGTGGCCTTAAAGAACATTCTCACAGGCAGCTACTGAACATGATGTGGTATATTAGTAGCGTGTAGGTTATTATCTTAATTACAGCTCAGTGGAAGTTCAAGAAGAGGGGTTTACATATAGACACCTCAAGTCGAGGTACTTTGTTTTTCCTTTGCAGCCAATCAAATCTAGAGCTCTTTACTGAGAGCTTAGGGAAGACACTCATTAAGTGAAGTCAAGTTATCACGCACAACACAATCCTCTTAGTTTTCACTGTTACGGGCCTGCAGTCTCGTCCTTGTCCTCTGACAGCTGAGGTTAGAGATATGATGCCCCGACTCTAACAGCTGACTTAGAGGATGAATGTACTACATTACAACTGTCCATGTGTGCTAAAAGCAAAAAGAGCTTAACTAATAGAGGTAAATACATTAGTTATTAAATGTGTATGTTTATATATGATTCAAATTCAAAGATATCTCTGTAAGCTTGGTTTGTGTCAGTGAAACTGGTCAATAGTGGTAAACCAGTCTTCAGATTGATATACACTACTTTTAAGCCTAGAAATTTGAACTTAAAAAATGTAAATTTTCCATGGCAACAATAAACATCACCCGTTGACCAGTAATTTATTTTTACATTTGTTTGCTTACACTGTAGGACTGTATTGTGCAAACTTTAGTCATTTAATACTGCCTCGTGTCGTGTTGATTACACACACATTCTCTTCATCATCAAAACCCTACATTTCGCCTACATTACCCACAATGCAACTACAGATAGCCACCAGCGAGCAAAAAGCAGAGATGTTAAGTAGGCTACAGAGCTGTTGTAAGATTACTTCTTTCTTTCTCCACACCCCCAGATTTTTTAATGTTCAAACCTGTAGTCTTTATCTGCAATTCTTTATTTGAAAGCCTTTACACAACTTTTTATTCACATATGCATTAGCCTGTAAACAGACTTTGATGTGTATAATAAGTGCAGCTCCCCTTTAAATCAATTTAAGCGTGATAGCAAATCTGAGATCTTTTGAAAGGAGAAAGTTTGATCACAGATTGACTTACTTGGATTTGAAACAGCCGTCTGTAAGTCCTCAAAACTGAACGGCTGATGCCTTAGTTGTGTGTAGATCCTGTTGTCCAGGTGGTGGATAAGTGGATCAGCCAATATGATGTCTTGATTTCCCAAAGCATTTATGGGATGAACTATCCTTCCAATGGATCTGCCACTTTGACTCACAGGTACACTAGATAGAGGGTTTGAGAGAGTTTCCTTGTGAACCGTGCATTTAGTCAAACTCATATTCCTAAAGGACAATGTGGTATTCCAAAAGAAATTCTGTCTGAGATCTTCATCAGTGAAGAAATGTTCATATATGTCTGTAGAAATCTGAGAGGCGCTAGTTGTACGGCTGAATCTGCTCACCACCCTCACGGGACTGCAGCTATCTTCTCCATCAGATTCCCCAGAAGAATCATCAGAAGAAGAAGATGCAAAGAAGTGCTCATAGGCCTCTGGGAACTGCAGATCTCTAGTAGCTGAGTGAGAGTAGGGAAATATAGGAACCAGCTCGTCTTTGGTGATGAGAGGGTAGAAGATGCTTTCTGTATCAAACTCTGAGAAGAAATGATCATAAGTTTCAGGGACAGAATTTCCTTCACTGTAGGAGGTGGGGATGTTATCTGTGGCTGACTGGCTGGGAATTGATGGCTTTCCACCAAGGACATACTGAAATATATTTGAGAGAGACATTTTGTAGCTGTCTGTTGGAAATGAAGATAAAGAGTCCAAGTTTTTGTCTTGCTTAGGCATGTGTCCAACACTGTGATGCTCTTCTTGTTGGAATTCTCCTTCGTCTACCGTTTGTAAAGTTGGGCCTTTCCTTTTGTAGCAGAACGACTCATAATTAAGGGCATGTAGATTGTCAACGCTTACATTTTTTGACATTTGTCTTAGGCATGTGTGAGAACCTGCAGGGAAGACCGGTTGAGTAGTGTCACCAGCAGATGTCAACATCATATTTTCAGGGTAGATATCAGCCTCTAGACTCTCCCACATAACATCACTTGAAGATGAAGAATCTTCCCCTATAACAGAACTTGATTCTGCAGGGTTAGGATCACTGGATATGTCTTTATTGGTTTGTTCAGCCTTGGACTCTTCAGGCTGAGTAAAAATGCCTGAATCTGTCATAGCCGTCTCTTCACTTTCCTTGAGAGGTGGGAGTGGGCTGCGTGGAACACAATTTCTGATCATTCGTAAACCAAGAATATCATTTATTGTCAGCTTCTCCATCTCACTCCAAAAAGAAGACATAGCGAATACTGAATGTTTTGATGCCTTTTCAAGTTCACATTTTGTTTCAGATACTGTGATGACGTCTTCTGTTGTGTCCATTACATCACATTTTGAACCTATCGAGTCATGTGATACATACTGGTCTTTGGAATCAGATGTGCCATCTCCTTCCTCATGTTTGGATAGTATTAGTGATGTTTTTATGCCTTGATCTTCAGGGTAATTTTGATTGACAGATAAACAAGAACTTCCTGAAATGTCTGTGATATTTTCATGTGAGAGTGACATGACAGATTCTGTGTCAAGAGTGCAGCAGGATGATGCTGGTGTAGTATCTAAATGACTTATTAGTAAGTCTTTCGACATGGATGGTTTGGTTGAATTAATTTCAGCAGATTGTGATGCTCCTAATTCAGTTCGGTCACTTGTGTTTTTCTCTGACAAACCATCACATTTGGATAATGTGTGGAGCAACCGGGGATATTCTGTTTGCTGTGCTATAATATTTATATCTGAACTGGAGAGACTTTCAGCCTGATCATGATTATCAGGCACATTGCTGGTATCTAATGATGATTTAGCACAGCCCACTTGACTGGAAATCTCCAAGAAGGGGCAGCCTCTAGTTTCTAATTTCTTACATTTTGTGGTGCGTGCATCAAAACTGCTTGCAGACAGTGGAAAGTGAGTATTTTCCAGTGTAGATCTATATTGGTCTATGTCACAGTCAATTTCCAGCTGTTGTTGGGGCTCAACCTCTCTTTGACACAGTGTGTAGTTGTCTCTGCCAGAATGTCCAGCCTCTACAGCCAGGACCGACTTAGCAGCGGATAGTTTGTCATTTTGGCTGACTTCCACCGCAGGATTATTTGACTCTGCACTTGGTAAAATGCTTATTGATTTGACCTCTGCTGTACAAGATCCTAGATTTAGTTTATTTTCATTAAAAATATAATTATTTATTTCATTAGACTGCCTGATACTCCTTGCTTGAATATCATGTCTTTCACAGTTTGCTGTTTCTATTGCCAAGGTTGATATACCAATTACAGTGTTAGTAATTGAATCTGGCAACACAGTTGAATCTTCTGCATGTAATTTGCTACATGGCTGTACATTTGTTGCCACATTACCACTGTTGTTTGATGGTAACAATACGGTGTCTACAGTTTGACTCAGGGGGTCTATTGACCTATTATTAGGTACATTATTTTCAGCCAAACTTGTTGTTTTAAACTTTCCTTTTCTGACAATGCTTTCTTTTGAATATTGATATTGACTGTCAAATGATGGAAAATAATTGACTTTGATATCCTTAGGAGAAATCTTCACTGGGAGATTTCTGGTGGCTGAAAGTGGAGTTAAAGAGGATAAAACACTTCTTCGTGGTTGGTTTAAATAAGATAAATTAGTATTTTCGGATAAACAGAAACTAGTTATTTCTCTCCACGCGACCTGTTCCTCCTCTGAGTCACTCGGCTTCACTAACTCCTGCATCTCATATTTATGCCCAATATCAACTGGCTCAACATTAAGTCGTCTCTTCCTCCGTCTTTTTCTTTTGAAAGAAGCAGATGGAGACAATTCTTGGCTCGCTGTTGTTGCGTCTGACTGTAGAACTTCTGGGTTTACATTCGGTTTAACTGGTGTCACTATTTCTTGATTGTTTGAAGGATCAGTGCTACACTCTTTACTGAGACTTAATTTACTCATCAACAAATCATCCTGCTTCACATCATCCAGAAGTGTGCACATTTCCGCCTTTATCACTTTGTCAGAGTGAGGTGTTGTTTCTGAGCATAAAACCCCCTCCAGTGTGTCTTGAGACTGATTCAGCCGTGTTGCTTCGGTGATTATGGTTTCTGTGCAGGCTTCCTCTCTGATGAAGGAACCTGTTTTGGGGTAAGCTGATTTCTTAGTCTTGAGCACTACGATACTGGCTGCAGGTTTAGGGGAAAGGTTCGGACCAGGCACGTCTTTTTTCATTGTGTTTATTTTGCCAATGGTGTTGACAGGACTTGTGGTCTCTTTGCCAACTGCTGTTTCACCGCTGGCAGGAAGATAACTTAACTGGAGGATGTGTTTTGGCAAGAATCTGCTGCTGGCTTGTTGCCCGTCACTACTCCGCTCCTCCTCCTGTATTGCCTCCTGTTTTTTTCCATCTCGCTCTTGGTTTGGCTCTATAAGCCTTTCTGCCTCTGTAAGACTTTTCAGCCTTTCAAAGAATATATTGACAGACTGCAGGTGTATGTCCTCCTCACTTCCCGAGAGCACGCTCTCCATTCCACCGATGGTGTGGTTACTGAGGTAGTGCTCCACAGAAGAGCCCTCACAGTCTGGTGGGCCATCGATGGGGCGGTCAGCCTCTGAAAAGCTTGCTGTTAGGTCGACTTTCTGAACTCTCTTAGCAAGAATGGACCCTGTATCATCAATGTCACTCATCCCTGAGTCGTCCACACCTAATGAAGGAGGAAGTATGCTACACTCTGTAGATGTCCACACTGTATTCAATGTCCTCCATTTTGACTTAGAGGGTAGAATATAACCTGGAAAAAAAATCAAAACAGAAGCACTATATTTCAAAAGTTATCACTGATAAAAGTAAATGTTTTGTTCTTTCAGGTAATTTTTTTAACATAAAATTAAAAATACTTGATGAATATCAAATACTGTCACAAGATAACGAAAAAAAGCCAATTTTAATTATACACAATTTTACTGCACAATTTAAGATACCACTCAAGGGCAGTGTTGGGACTAACGCGTTACAAGTAACGCGGTTACTTTTTGGCAGTGACCAGCACGCTGACCCGTTACCTATACAATTTAGTAACGCAGTTGCCGTTACTACATGGTGCGTTACTCCGTTAGTTTTTTTATATAGTCAACAGCCAGGCGAACAGAGATGAGAACTGTACTTAAGTACTTGAGTAAATGTACTTAGATACTTCCTGTGTCACATGCGGAGACGGGCTGTGGGCGTGTTTGTGTTGTTTACTAACAAGACTATCATGGCGGCGGCGGAGCTCAAGTCTAGTTTCTCCACCTGGAGATATTCTCACTATTTCACTTTTGTCGAGCACAAAGAACGTTTTAGTTAAATGTAAGTTGTGTCTTGGCGGGTCAAAGATCCTATCTACTGCCCAAACCAGTAATTCTAATCTCTTAAAACATCTGCAGAAACAACATGCTGGGACGAAGCTAGTAGCTAAGACCACAGAGACTCAGCCGACGCCACTCCACCTCCACCTAAGCAACAGCGGCTGGATTTTAACCAAGGGACTGCTGGCCAGGGAAAAGTCGATAAAGCCATTGCACGGTATGTTGTAGAACACATGCAGGCTATTGCTACAGTGGAGTCACCCGCTTTCAGGGAGCTAGTTAGCATGATAGCATGTCCGGGCGGCACACGGCATATGGGACGGAAAACTTTTTCCAACTACCTGGAGAAAGAATATACAAAAATGGAAAGCCAGCTAATATCGATGCAATCCAGATTGCATATAATGCATGTCAAGTTGATCAACAGATTGTATTATTCTCCAATGCAATAACAGTACTGAAATGAAGGCTATAAGGGCATTAATGAGACATGTTGTCAAGTAACGAAAACGTTACTTTTCACAGTAACGCATTACTTTTGGGTGTAAGTAACTAGTAAAGTAACTGAGTTACTTTTAACATGAAGTAACTAGTAATAGTAACTAGTTACTGGTTTTCAGAGCACAACACTGCTCAAGGGTAACTTTTTAGTTATGATCTAATATGATTTTATCTGATTTTATCTAATAAAATCAGACTCTCTTCAGAGCAGCAATTAACAACTAGTCAGTAAGATTAAACTATAAAAAGTTAATAAAATTAAAAATCTAAGTATTGCAACAGGAAGTATTTATTATATCTGTATTTCTAGCTGTCTGCATATGTACTTGTAAATCCATGCAGGTTTCCTACCTGTTGTGCTTCAGTTGTGACCCTGCAGAGGTGAAGGTCTACGAAGTCGGTCTTATTAGCACCATGATGCATGTCCTCGAGTGAGTCCCATGATTTGATAAATATAGCGTTCTGATCACGTAATACTCACAACGTTCTTACAGCAACCATCTCTCCAACAGAGGCATAACATTTCAAAACTTTAAATAGACTCCACTATGAAACTGCTTAACTGGATAAAAGGTATATCAGATGTTGTTATTGTTTCATTGGTACATAAATATGATATATTACTGATCTAGGTTATACTTATTTGTAGAATGTGTTTTTGTATTAACTCTGTATCTGCGGGCTCCAATAACAGTCAGGCCCTCTTCAAGTATGGGGCTGATATGAAGTGTGTCAGTCAGTCGATATCTCACTGCTTTGAAGTCATGGCGTGACACTGGATCTGAATATTTCCAGACGCTGCAAGAGGCCAGAACGATGGAGGGATGTGACCGGAGCTGCATCGTGTGAGGCTCATGTGATTCCCCTTAACCTAAATGCGGATATACATCTTAATTTGCGAAAATGTATTCTACTATCTAAAATGTTGATTATGGATTAACATGTTGTAATTGAGGGGTTCATTCATTTTTAAAGTCCCCTTTCAGTCAAAAATGTATTTTTCTAATTCTGACTTCACTTTGATATTCGACCGTCAGTGCAGAATGATGAATGGGTTTGAAACTAGAAGGCTGTTTTCACATTCTTCTGCTGAAGGGGAAAGGTCCTCTGTGCTCAACTCAAATGTCAGACATGTTTAACACGCTATGCACCAACATAACTCTGTGACATCATACAGAGTTTTGATGTGTGATGTGTAAACTTACAGTCTGTACACTTCAACTGCGAATGGACTTTTCTGTATAATAAGTGATGGCTTGTATAGAAGTTTTCTTTTTTTAATAGTTTTTTTTTCAGAAATTCTAGATTTTGGAACCTGTTAGTAAACTTTTAAGTAAACTCATAGTCGACTTTAAACTGTAAATGTTAGTATGTCATTGACAAAATTGTCGATCACTAGAATAAGAACCCAAATCTGGAACTGTTCATGTTCAGTAGCTGTTAATTAATAGATTGTGGCCCAGGTGCCCTGCATCAAAAGTTTATAATCACATATCTGTCTTTACGACAAAGCAACCCAAACTAAAATGAATTCATAACCAAGCTTTTATTACAGCCTCTAAACTCTTTTTAAAATATGCCTTATTAAAAAGGCAGCAACCAAAAGTCCAATGAAATCAGAATACTGTATATCAAGCTCATATCACCTCTAAGTTGTTGTTTTTTGGAGAATTTCTATTGTAAAAATATTCATGTTTTATTTTACTATACTTTCCTGCACATTTTTACTTCATTTGTGATCTTCCTCCTGTCTGCTTTTCATTTGATATGCCAAAACTTGAGTGGGTCAATCATCCTGATATGCAAGTTTACTTTGTCATTTAAATCTAACAAAAGAACATTCTGGTGACCATTGAGAGAAACACTTAAAATCTTGGGTAACTGAAATTATGGCACAGATGTCAGCCTACAAAATCGGGCTTATCTTCTGCTTGAATGTGAAATGTACCATTAGGAAGGACAGTTCATCTGTGGAGGTATTGAGCCTTTGTTTACAGCTATCAGTAAGACTTAGTAAAGACAATGTGATTACGGGTCCATCCATGCTGTGAAAATGTTACTGACACTAAAAGATACAAAGATAACCTATCAGTCCTGATCTCATTATCAACTGTTAAAGTGTACTTAGAAGATGCCTAATGTGCCTTAACTGCAGTTGAATGTATTGAATTACGATGATGGGGTAACATTGGAAATGTAGAAGAAAAATGACCTAACATCATATAATCTACAACATTGTTTTGTAAATTAGCTATAAGAAAATGAAGAAATGTTCAAATCAAAAGTCACACTTTTTGAAACTTGGGAAATTATTGAATTTGTAAAGTAACATATCAAAAAGAGTTTTCTCAAAGTGAAAATTTCTACAGTCAGAATTTGCATCTAACACTTTCCCAGGCTGTAGCTACAGCCTTTATTTGCCTAATTTTCATCACTATAGATATTTATGAGAAAAAAGACCCTCTAATTGGCCAAACCACAGCCTGGGCTATGTGCCCAAGAGGGCCCTCTCAATTCATCAGCTGTGATAAAGGGAGACAAGCCAGGGCCTGTGTGGCTCCTGCACCTGGGGCAGCGGGCCGTTTTGAACCGGGTGGGATTCTGTTTCCATCAACAGGATTAGGCTCTTATGAGTCAGGTCTTGGGAGTTAAGATTGGAATCTGTTTGGGTTGTTTCACACTGGCTAAAGCGACAGAATTTCACCCTAATTGTTTACCATGTCAGCCCCGGCAATTCAGCGTCAATTAAACAAAGCCCAGTAAACAGACACATTCAACAGCAGCTCAGTGACATAATGTTTAAACAGAGAGGAGTTTGTGTTTGGTCCCGTTACCAAGCCACCTTGCTTTGTGGCATCGCTTATGTATGAAACAGGGGTGCAAAGTCTTAATTATAGCAAATAAAGGATAGAAAACAGAAAACCGTAGACAAAGATTCCTATTATGGATCTAACGGGAGTGTTAAGAAAGGCTGTTTAGCAATTTACAAGGAGGCTAAGAGTGAGAAAAGAGTTTAAAAAATGTGAGACGTTGAGTGGAAGTAGTTCCAATACACAAAAAAATGAAGTAATGATTAAAAAATAGACTGAGTTTAGAAATACAAAAGTAATCATTTTCAAGCTTAGTTAGAAGACATTGTTTTAGAAAAAAGTCTGGTACACCATTCTGTAATTTCTCTTGTGTTGCAGTATGGTTCATGGTTCATCCCATGAACAAAATGTGATGAACCAAACTTGTATTGCAATATTTAAACATGTTAAATGATGATTGATTTGCCTTCTGTAAATATGACATTCACACATTAGCCTACTGGACATTTAGCCTTTTTTTATCCAATGTCATGATTGTCAAACACTCCTACATGTTTATAATGTGGACAGATGTGTTGTAAAATGATATCCTAGGCTAAATATGTTTAATATAATGATCTTCAATCAAAGGGTGGGTAAACTACCTTAATCTGGTGATGAATTAATAACAAACCATGCCCATACCTTTATGCCTGTCAGTGTCAGTTTAACATTATTTAATTGTGTTGATAACTGGTGCACAAGCAAAAGTGCTCTTTAATATGGCATTTGCCTGTTTCTAACAGAACTAGTCTTGTCCCGCATTTAAAATGGTCTCACCTGTGGCCTGCTGGTTTATCCCATAGTTTAACCTCACTTAAGTGTGAAGCAAGAAGCGCCTGCAGGCCTTCAGGAGGATTATGCATCGTGACAATGGTGAGATTTGATCAGGAGCACTAACAAAACGTTATTGTCCTCACCTCAAATGTCACAGACAGACAACACAGAAGTATCAGTGCTCGAGCTGTTTGGGGGTCATGTCAAAATCCAGCACGTCGACTCTGCAGAATTCAGACTTCACCTCCAGGCCACTGTACCGAAACTGCGACCTGTTTTTAACAATGAATAGAACACAGGTCAGTTAATTTCGCCTGCTTACTACCACAGGCCTATTTAACACTACACCGGTTCCAAGATGGCAAAAATAACTCTATCTTGCATTACATTTATCTTGACACACAAATGAGACAAACGATAGCTTCTGCCTTAAAATCCTCAAATAATTGAATTTACTTGAACTGCTTTGGCTGTGTTTATCTTGGGACGACGTCAAGTGCAGCATTTCATTTCAACCACAAGATGGCGGACCACCGCCAACCAAACAGTCGTCATGCAAAAGTGTACACATAAGCTTTCAACTAGGATATAAACAGTGTGATGACATCATTCAGGTCTTTTTCTCGGATAAAGGCAGCAATATCACTGCAGAAAACACTCAATTATTACTAGTAAACATTAGCATGTTCTTTATCAGCAGTAAATAAGGTAGCATACTGACCGATTGATGAGTAATATTATTGTGCATTGCATCAGGTCAAGGCGGAGCTAATTTTAATGACGTGATATATTAATGCACTTTTTACTCTTGCATCATGTTTTAGGCAAATTGTACTCCCAATGTTTGAGCTAAGCCGAGGTACAGCCAAACTGACCCCTTTGTTATCGTGCAAGGCTTTCAATAACAAAGTAACTATTTTCTGTACCTGACAGATAAAGGAAACTGAAACGTATACGCTTACAATATGTAATAAAATAAGTAGCTATCATAAAATAAGAATAGTCAAGTATACTATCAAAACATTATAGGCCTACAGGTTACTTTCATAAATGTCACTCCTGTAAAGAGGGACAACAGGTTGTATTTCTAGCAGTGTGAATAATCACCAAATAAAAACTACATGTAAGACCCACACCATTTAAAAAAAAAATTTTTTTAAATTAAATGTTGTTGTGCATTGAACCTCAACAAATATGAGTCGTTTTCTGTAAACCATAATTTGATGTGCCAAATTACAGCCCAATGTGTTTGTTCTGTGTAACCAACTTTTTCTTCAGTATCAGGCTAAACAGAGAATGCAATTCCCCTATCATATTGAACGTTAAAGGCTGTAATGTGATATAATGTATATAATGTATTCAAATAAAGCAATGCCACCAGAGCCACACTCAAATGACTCACATCGACCTTTCTGGATAATAATCGTATATATTATAGCTTCTGCACTTTAACACTGAAATATAAATATAGGCCTATTGGCTTAAAATCAACATGATGCATGTAGGTCTATAATCTTTCAATGTTACATATTTGTTTTGATAGGACACTGAACACGCTTAGTGACAGTTATTAAAACCTAAAGCTGCCAAAAGATAGTATGCAACGTCCACCATTATGCACACAACCACATCATTGTACACATTAGCTGGTTTCAAGGTATTTTTGGACCTTCACATACTGGGTAAAAGTGTTCTTTATTTTTCAAGCCCTGAGGCAGTCTGACTCTTTGCCCATATCACTAGCTAGTTTTTCACGACTTCTTCACTTTGTGAAACAACTAAAATGATTGTAAAGTGAGCCGACTGAGACCTAAGAGAAGCTATACAGTGCATAGAACTTAGGCAGCAGACGCAGGACAGCAGCTATGTCTGAGGTTTGGGACCACTTACCCCTCATCATCTGGGTAAATTAGTGAAAGACAGCCAGCACTATTCACTGTATATGCTTAAAACAACATAATGTGGTGCTACAACAGTTATAATCTGATTTGTAAGGTTTCACCTGAAGTCCAACATGCGTTCGCTCTTTTAAGCTTGTAATTTTCCCTGCCTTCCCCTGATCCATTTATTATTAACAGTTATTTTGTCAATAAAAACGATATTTACATTTTTCAAAATGTGATTTCTTTCCGACATTTTTGACATGAACTTTTTGTTTCAGATGTATGAAAGATCTCTCTCAGCTCTTGAATGTTTTCAATGTAGCTTCAAGTTTTTTTACTTAGCATTTTGCCCTTTTTTATGGCTACCATTGAGATTATTTCAGTGAGGCTTGAATTGAATGAAACAAGCTTTCTTTCATCCTGGCAGGATTTTGTTCACTTTCCTTGGTTACCATATAATATTCTTCCTTCCTTGTCTCTGTCTGTGTTATTTTGCAGACAGACTCCTGAAAAGCTGTTTACTCTGAGTTAACCATGCGGCGAGCCATGTGAGAAATCTTTCTTCTCCCGGCGGACTTCGTGGGTTAATAAGTTATCTGAGGACAAAGAGCTGACAACCCCACCACCCCAAACTGAGCCATGGCCTTCCTTCCTTTGGCCTGGGTCACCGGGGTTATCAGTGATAGGGGAACAATAGGAAGTGGTTAGACCAGTCACATCGTGGCACTGTCACTCACTCACCTCCTGCATGTCTCCACACAGCTATGCATACAGAGCTGTCCTTCCACAGCTTTCATCACATGTGATACACTCAAGCTCATGTGCTGTCACCGCTTTAGCCAATGTGTCACACGACACGGCCCTCTGACCTCCCATCTATTTCTACTGTCTGAGGCTGACAACAATTATCGCCTGGCGTGACCTGTGCAAAGCGTGTGACCCACCAACATAAGTTAAAAACTACTGGAAGTGACAGAATACTTGTTGCTGGGTTGCAAATATCTCTGGATCTATTACACAAGTGAAGAAGTCAAGAAAGTGGATGAGACGTGGAACTCTTTTCATGTTTGACAGAGTAGATCATGATCATCAGTCCTTTCTGTATTTTAACTTCTGTGCAAACAGCTGCTGTAAATAGTGAATCATTACTTTCAGTCAAGTACAGTGCCTCAATTTTATATTTAAGGCACTATACTCATTGAGTTTTGAATCCACAGCTGTAGTTAATAGCTGTTGATTAATGTTTGACATACTAAACATAAGAAGGGCCTACGTATCATTTTATATTTGTATTTATATTTATATATGCTTTAACAAATGTTTTGTAAACAATGTGTAATGGCAATTTTGTCATCATTGTGACAAACGTAATTATCCTCTGACTACAGTACTCCCCATTGTGAGGATTTTACTTTAGGTTCTTTGTGTTGGTTTTATGTTCTGCTATGTTACTGTTTTGGTTTACTCCTGACTCTAATGTCAGCAGGATGCTGTTTTCAGCGAGGGAAAAAAATAGAAATGACAACTATACACTACCATGTCAATATGACGGCAGTCAGACCGAGTTAGAGGCTATCTGATGAACGTTGGGAAGGATTTACAATAGCCTATAGAGACTAATGTTTAATCTGAAAAGATAAATTGTGTTAGCTGTGTCATGAAAATCGCCACACAAAAGCACACAGTGATGAAAGTATCTTATCTATCTATGTACCTATTATATAGGTCTACAATTATTCAATGTCATTATTCAGAAGCAAGTTTAGCATCAAGAGGGATTAGAAATGGATTTATGAGTGTCACCTCGACTGTTGTAAAAGTTTTATCTTTAGATTTGGGCTGTAACGTGATCATGAAATCAGTTTTCAGAGAGTCTTCTTACCAGAAAGGAAAATACATTACTGCACAGGTTGCAACCTTGTCAAAACCATCCTGTAAATCACAGCTGGGGCATGCAGCCCTACAGTGCTGCTCACCCTCAGGCCTGGAGTTTAAACACAACAAGTCTGAGTCAAATGCCTGTTTGCCTGTACAGTACCCTTTTGGCCCTATGGATCTGAGTCAGCCGTCTGGTGAGAGTAGGGGTTTTGCAGCTGAGGCTATGGGCAGTCCCCTTGAGTAACTTCAGCCCAAGCCTTCACGCAGCTTTGTCACTGGGCAGAATGATTGAAAGAGAGGGCACAAGTCCACAACCTATTTGTGGTTTAGCTGCCACATTTTCAGCTTTGCAGTCTGCAGCTTGTTTGCTTCCTGTTGATGTGGATCACCCACTGTGTTAAAACGACTCTCCCCTGAAACCACTCAATGCACAAGGTTATCAATGGCTTACAAAAAAGCCTCGACAGGGAGGTGAACTGTAGATCCTACCTCCCTGGTTTGTTTATCCACTGCTGGTTGTATGTGGCTGACATTTGTTAATGGTGCATCGCTTCGAGGCTGAATGGCACATTCTTCTGCTGACACTTCAGATGTTTCTAACTCTTTTTCCATTGAGGTCCAGAATACTGTGGATCAAGTAGGATTGAAAGGCAGCTAAATTAACACAACCAGTCAGTCAATGCTGGCCTTTGCCGCCTGAGAGTGTG